GTTTTTCTTTATGGTGAACTATTTGTTTCTGATAGTCAACTATAACTGGACAAATAATTTCGGTTTAATTCAAAATTTTTACGTAATCCTCAGATGGGCCGTAACACCAAACAGGTACCTGACTAAAAAATTACAAATACGCAAGAACGAGATGAACGTGATGAATTGCATCAGTGGGAAACAAAATATCATAGTAATCAATTACCTATCTGAAAAACTCTTTTGTTCAAGATTGTACAAAAAAAAGATGTAGATCTCGTAGAATAATATCTACTTTTTTTTGTACGTATCTCTGTTGCTATGATAAAAATTCTATCGATTGGGTACTATCGTTCGAACAAGAAAAAAGGGATCGTTTAATTGCAAATTTAATCGTGGGACGACTTTAACAAATAATATTGCTTTTTCATTTGAAGCAAACGTTGAGGGGGACAAAAAAAATCATTCTCCGAGATTAAAAAGGTTTTTTATTTGTTTTTTTTTTGTTATTTTTTTTTGTTGATATTTTTCTTTTTTTTTTTTTTTCTAGTTGTTCTAGGAAATTCGCGTAAAGTGTACTCTCATTGCTTTTGTGTCCTCGCATAGAAGAGAAGTGTAACTCGTAACTCGTTTTTACGAGACATATATCCAGAGAGAGGAGAAAATCGATTATTGCTAGTTTTGAAAAATTCAGAAAAACTCTTCTCGTCTCTCTCTCTCTCCCTCTCTCTCACGCTCTCTCTCTTTCACTCTTTCGTTTAGTTTCTTTCGAGCCATCGGTTTTAACCAATTCCGAAGGGCGCTTTAGTTCCGCTCGTTTTCAATCTACTCGAAAGTTGAATGAAATGTTTTGATAAGCGTCCTCCGGATTAATTCTCGTCGCTGGAAGAGATCAAACGAATCGGAAATTTTTTCCTTTTCCGTACGTCCCCGTTTGAGTGTTCTACAGGCGATTAAGCACATTTCAATGTATACATGCGTACACGTGTACTAGTTTGTATATATATATATGTTAAATATTCGCAGATGGAATGAGACGTTTGAAAAGTATTACGACATCAAACATAACCTATCGGCGGGAACTTCAATCGTATCAATTAGTGTCGAGATTATCGATCTATAACGATCATATAATTTACTAACGGAAAGTTTTGACGAATGAAAAATATATTTTCATATTAGATTTTGGTGATATAAATCGTATAAATGCATATGTTTAGGTATATACATGGTATTTCGG